GGGGAGGGGGAACTTGGGGGTCCTGCAGGGACGGGGAGCTCTTTTGGTCAGGCTGGATGGGCAGCAGGGTCATGGAGTAACGGGTCAGCGGGAAGGCGGCCTGGACAGGCGCTGTCAACCCTCCATCCCCTCCTGGTCTGGTCCCGGGTGACCCACCTGCAGATCCTGCCTGTTCCCGTGTGAGGTTCCCGCAGGCACCTGGGAGTCAGGACGGCCCTTCTGAAAACAGAAACACACTAAGGCAAGGTCCTGGCCAGTGTCCGGGGCCTGCTCCCCGCTGGTGTGTCCCTGAGACCCTCTTGGAACCTGGAGCTGACCGGGAAGGACTAACAGACCTCTGCCCCATGCCGGCGACTCAGCGTGGTGGAGGCGCCCAGGCCTTGAGGGAGCTGGTGCTGGGCAGGGTCTGGGCACTCGGCTGCATGTGGAGTGGGGCGGGGGATGCAGGGTCTACAGCTGGTGCCTGGCACAGCCTCAGGAGCACCCGGACGCTGACCAGGCTGCTGCCCCCATGAGGATGGCTCCCACACGCTGGCCTGTCTGGGGATGTGTCCCGTCTGCATGAAGGTGCCCAGCAGCCCTGGGGCTGGGTCACACCTGGAAGAACAGGACAGCCTCTGCTCTGGCCCCGGTCTCCCTCACTGCCGTGCAGAGAAGCCAGCCTCCTGCTTCTCTCTGCTCTTGGCTCCTGGGTAACCCCGGCGCCCTGACATCCACCAGTCTGGATCCCCACAGCCGGCAGGGCTACTCAGGTGTGGCCAGCACCCCTGGGGTTTCCTCACTCCGTGCATGACCAGACTGAGAATCATGCCAAGATTCAAATTCGCTGAAGCAGGCCCCTGCAAGCCAGCACCGAGGGCAGGGCAGCTGCCCTCACTCACCTCTGGTGGGCCGAGCAGGAGGGGCTGCGGCTCTGTCCTGCGGCCTCTCCGTGTCCACCGCGCTCTGGCGCGAGCTCCGCTGCCCAAGAAACCTCCCAGTCTCCGAGGCTGGGGCCAGGGTTCGGGGCAGGCCCTGGGGAGGCCACCGCTGAGGAGGCTCGCAGGGACCATTAGCGCGGCTCGAAGCGCGTGACCGCAGCTTCCCGCCCATCAGCGTCAGGAGACCAGATGCCAGGGCTGCGGGCCAGCCGGGCCCCCCTCCACTGTCCCCGGGGCGCTATTCTCCTGCCAGGCCCGGGGACTCTGCACACAGCTGTGCGGGCCCTGGCCTTGGGCGGACGTGCACCTCATTCATTCAGGGAAATACCGGGGAACCCCACGGCTGAGCCCCGACTCCACGAGCTGCTAAACTGTCTCTTCAAGCTGATGGGCTCGTGTGGAATCCTCTGATGTCCATGCTAAGGACAATGAGCATTTTCCCTGCCTTGGTTTTCTGACCTTTCTCCATGAAGCGTCTGTTCAAGGACGTTCCCACGGGGGGATCATGGACTTGCCGACTTGAGTGTCTGGTTCACGGTTATTTCAACAGCTTTCAAGGGTGTCTGGCAAAGTCTTTCTTGTGTTGCTAACTTTACCTCACATCTATGTGCAGCCCTTCTGGGTTCTCAATGTGTGGAAGTCCCCATAAACCACAAGATGGGCACACACGGCACAGACACAGAGACAGAGGAAGCCCTGAGACAGGCCAGCAGCTCTGGCCTCCAGCAGCAAACCACACCAACACTGGAGTAAGGAGCTCACTTTCGCTTTGGAACCTTAGGGGGCAGCTTGTGAAAATGACTAATTTCTGCATTGTTTACGTTCCTTTTCAAGGCAGGATTTGGAAATTTTCCCAAATAGCCTTTCAATTATCAACCCCACTGCCCAGGCTGATTATCTGCATCAGCAGCCCAGAGGGCTCACATATTTACATAACATTCAGTTTAGCATTGCTATATCAGAAAAGTGAAATAATCTAAATCCCCATCAATAAATACATGTTTAAATTAAGTTGCATTACAAAATTCGGAACTACACAGGTCTACGAATGTTGATACAAGCAACTCCCCAACATTTATTCAAGGAAGCCCAATAGAGACTCCCCCAAAACACAAGAACAGAATGGGTTGGGTGGTCTCTCCCCCATCTGCACTGAGAGGAAAATGAAACCAACAGAACAAAGGACGAGTAAAGGTTTCGGGGCAGAGATAGACACTCCCTGGGGCTGTTACTGGGACTGCAGTGCTGAGGGTGGGCGTGAGGAGGTACAGAAAGTCATAGGCCAAGGCCAGGCACTGTCTCAGGTCCTGCTTACCACTGAGGATGGTCAGAGGGCCCTTTGGAGAGGGAGGGACGGAGCAGGACATACATGTGCCCAGGACCGTGGGGGCAGATGGGTCTCTGCTGTGTAGGCTTGTCTCAGGGGTTGGTGATTGGGGTAGGGGCCTCCTCTACCCTGGAGCCACTGCAAGGGACACCCAGTGCTGGTGCTGCGGTGCTACACCGGCCCCACCGGGACTGGTGGTAGGAGAATGGGTGGGAGAACCTTTTCGCCACTGCCTGCAAACAGAGCTGTGCACATCAATGAGCTGGCAGCTCCACATGCCCCACCCCCAGCGGGCATCGCTGAGAGTCAAGAAGCAGCCCACCCCAGGTGCCACTCCCAGCAATGAAAGCCCATCTGCTTCTGGCTGCTCCTGGTGCTAGTGTCACCCCGGGGCCCAGTGACCATGCTTTGTGGGAATACCCCCCCGGTGGCATCAGGCAGCACAAGAACACTGGGCATGAATCAGGGTCCTTGAGTCACTAAGCTGAACTTTCTTTAGAGAAAGAGTAGAGGAGGCAGAGCTGACCATTGCCCTGAGCTGCCCTCCCTCCTCCTCAGACTGAGAATGAGCACAAGCCCAGTTTTCCCTTTTTTCCGCGCTACCTGCTATCAAGGTAAACAAAGAGGAGGAACAAAGAAACTAAAAGGCAAAAAGGGCAATAAGGCAGCATCCTCCTTAGGAAGCAAAAACACCTGAATGCAAGATAGAAAGGCAGAAGGAGAACACAAGTCCAGACACAGCGACCAGGGGCCAAGAAATAGAGAACCTGAGAGGCAAATAGCAACGTTTTCATACTAAATGAGGTACAGGGCAGACAGTCCGGAACGGAATAGGAAGGCACAGGGTCACAGAGGGAACAGAGGTGGGCCAGGCAGTCCAGGAATCAGGAGCTCACAGTCCAAGGACAAGGGGCCCCACACAAACAGGGAGCATACACCTTTTCTTCAAGTGCACAGGGAACATTTTTCACAGCAGACCCAAATTTGGGGACACACTGAGACTTAAATTATACCTTGTGCCTTATCTGACCACAATACCATAAAACTGAAAATCAGCCTTAAAAAATTATACAAAAAGGTATTAATACTTGGAGAATTAAATAATGCTGCTTAAGCAACTGAATAAGAGGAAATAAAAAGAGAACACTAGAAATACCATAAATGAATAAAAATGTTGATACAATTACTAGAATTTATGAGGTACAGCAAAAGTGCGGAACAATTGCAATAACTCCCTATTATCGTAAAACGTAAGAAGTATCCCAAATAAACAACCTGATATCACACCTAAAGTGACTTGGAAATGTGGAACAAGAAAGACCTAAAGTTGGCAGTGTAAGGAAATTACAAAAACAAGAGTGGAAATAAATAAAATAGAGATCACAAAGACTACACCAAAAAAATCAATACAACTAAGTTGGTTCTTTGAGGTGGTTCTTTGAGGAGACAAACAAAAAGATAACCCACTATCTAGGCTAACAATAAAGAAAAAAGGAGAGAAAAAACTAATGAACTGAATTACAAATGATAGAGGAGAAATCACTACAGTTAACAAAAAAAATACAAAGAAGTGCTATGAAAACTATATGCTAATAAATTAAATAACCTCAAAGTAACAGGCAAATTTCAAGATCTACCTAATCTACCAAGACTACCGCCAGGAAGAACTGGTGCCTGGAGAAAATCAACCACAAGCATGGAAACTGACACAGCAGTGAAAATTTTTCTGAGAAACAAAAGTCTAGGACCAGATGGCTTTAAAAATAAATTTTATAGAGCTTTTAAACAAAAACTAATGATCAACTTGCTTGAATTGTTTTCAAAAATACAAGAAGAAGGACTCCACCTTATTACTTTTTAAGATGCTAACATGACCTTAATACCAAAATGAGAAAAAAACACAAGGAAATTATGGGCCTATATCCTTGATAAACATCAATACAAAAACTTTCAAGAAAATACTAGCACATTGAATTCAACAGTGTATCACAAGAATTATACACCAGGGTCATGTGGGACTCATCCCAGGTATGCAAGATGGTTTAATATACATAAACTAATTAATGTAATACACCATATCAACTGGCATAAAGATAAAAGTCATATGATCAACATGAATGCAGAGATGCAGAGAAGGCATTTGATTAAATACCCATTTCTGATAAAACTCTAAACAAGTTGGAAAAAGAAGAAATTCACCTCAACATAATAAAGGCCATAGAATACAAATCCACAGTCACTATAATAGCCAATGGTGAAAGGCTGAAAGCCTTCCCCACAAGATCCAGCACAAGAAAAGGGCTGTTACCCACTGTCACCACTTCTATTTGACTTAGAGTTTTTGGCTGGAGCTATCAGACAAACACAGAAACAGAGGGAACTAGATAGGAAAGAAAAAATGAACACATCACTATTTGCAGATGAAATGATGACACATATAAAAATCCTAAAGAATCCATCAAAAGGTCATTAGAAACAATGTATAAATACAGCAAAGTTACAGATTAAAAAATCAACACACAAAAATTCATAATTTCTTAATATACATTGACCTAGAAACAACAGAAATTAAGATAATAGCTCCACATATGATTGCTTCAAAAAGAGTTAAATACCTTGTAATCAACCTAACTAAGGAGGTAAAAGACATCCACAAGGACATCTACAAGGTGTCATGAAAGGACTAGATTTATACTTACATGTATAAAGTAACAGGCAGCGGGACCTACAGAAATGAAACACATTTGCCAATAAGAAAACAAAGGAAATGGGAGGGAGCAATGTTATTCTGGGCTAATGAATTTATTCCAGATGTTAACTCAAATTCACAAAAGCAAATACAATATTCACATGAAAAATAAGGTGGCCAAAATAGCAAGAGTTAAAGATATTTAACCCATCCTCTCGAACACTCATTTAGGGATATAAAATTATATAAGTTAACAATTATAAATTCTTGGGATTACAACATTTATGGAAGTGTTATATATATATATTACAATCACATATATATAAAACCTATACATATAACATAAAACAGGGGAGAGAACTAGAGCTACTAGAGAATGCCTCAATAACTTACTAAAGTTAATTTAGCACAAATATGAAGCTGATTTTCATCATTATAAAGTATATGGAAAGCCCTAAAGCAACTACAAAGGAAATAATTCAATACAGTTGAAAAACTTTAAAGAAATTAAAATTATACATTAAAAATATCCAGGTAATAAAACTGGAAGAATAGAAGAAAATAAAAGCATGGGAAATATACAACACAGAAATTAATATTGAAGACATAAATTCCACTGTATCAATGTTAGCATTAAATGTCAATGGAGTAAACAAATTCAATCTAAGGTAATTTCTACCTGAGTTTGAAAATCAAGGTGCAATGATACGCTGTCTTCAAGACACACGTAAATCAAAGATACAGATTAAAATAACATAGATGGAAAAATATAAACTATGTAAAGAGCAACCAAAAAAGCTGGAACAGCTATACTAACAGCAGACATAGTTGACTATAAAACAAGTATTATCAATAAAGATATAATGGAACAGGGGCCACCCTGGTGGCTCAGGGGTTAAGTCTCAGCACTATCAAGCTATTGCCAGCCACTGAGGCATGAATTCGATCCCCAACCAGGGAGCTGACTCACTTATGGAGCAGCAGACCTCTCCTGTCACACCCACTGCTACCCTCAGCAGAGTATTTCAGTAAATCTGCCTATTTGTTCCCCACTCTGTCTCTGGTGAATCCTCTCACCTCCACAACCTGCACCCCTGACCTAGACCCCAGTTCTTGTGTATATATAAATAAATAATATTAATCTTTAAATAAAAAGATATAAAGAAAAACATTGTAACAATAAGTGTCAAACCACCAGGAAAACATATCAATTATAAATATATATGCAACCAATAACACACACCAAAATACAGAGAGCAAAAATTGATAAAATAAAGGAAAATGGAAAATTCAATAAAAAACATTGGAAATCAATGTCTCACATAAAATAGATAAAAAACTAAACAGTAGACATACAATATTTTTATTAATTTCACAAAAATTGCTTGAATGGGTTTGTCTCTGGTTAGGAGCCTTTCCCGGTGAAGACAAAGAGTCTATGAAGCTCAAGCTTGAGTAACCAACCATGGAATGGGGTGGTTTGGGGTAGAAAGAAGGGGACAACCGGGACCTGGAAGAACATGGGGACCTGAGGCACCTCCCTCTGGCTTTTGTATCACCTGTGGTTTGGAGTAAGACACTCCCCTCATGAAGGCCTGGCTGTAACTTCCTGCCCTTTGGCAGGTGGAGAAGAAAAGGCTGCAACTGAAGAACGAGGCCTGGGAGCATCACAGGATGTGTAAGAGACTGCAGAACGGAAGGGCTGGGACTCAGCGGGGGTGTGTCTGTCACCTGTTCCTTGAGAAGCTCTGTCTTCCTATGGCTTCCCCACCACACCCAGAGCTCCAGGAGCAGGACTGCTGCCTCTTCATGGTGCATCTCAGAGCCCTCGGATACTGCGTGCCCACATTTGACACTCCTGACAGTGGATCGGACAACTTAGTGACGAGCACACAGTTCATCAGAAGAGATTGGGTGTGGTCACCCCACATGTCCAGATGACACCTTTGTTGGGAAGGATGCTGCTTGGCCCCAGATAGCACTGGACAGTGTGTACCCTTTCCCAGCCAGTGGAAGTGACCCACACCCATCAGCCAGTTATCCAAGGGCTCCACACATGAGCCCATAAGAGGCCCACCCACTCCTGGTTCAACCTCAAAATGTGGTACCAGACCCGCCCCACTCTCCCCGCAGACATGCTCAAAGGAACTTCTGGGCAGGACTGTTTTTCCCCAGGAAACACCAACATAAGACCAGAATGTGAGAACACAACTCAACAGGGTCCAAGAGAAAGCTGTCCCAGACAGACAATGAATCGTCCACTGGGATAAAGGCTGCAAGCCCATCAGCCCACTGGCTGTGAGGGCACAAGGCCCAGGTGGGGCATGTTTGGGAGATGACCAGCCCTGGGGTGTGTGGCCTACAAGAAATTGAGAAACAGTGGGCCACCATAAAGGACCAGTGTGGTAGGGGCAATAGGGTGTACCATGGGGGTGCAGATGGAGCTGGGGTGCATGGGAGGTCCTAGTGCTGAGAAGATGGAGGGACCCATAGGGTGAAGTTCAAGGGCCAGCAAGGTTGATGACTGCTGTCGCAGGTACAAGAGCACCTACCCACCTGGGGCAATGGGTCCCACTGAGGCTTCCTGGGTGTCCAGGTGTCCTGGCTCAGCTAGCATGGCCTGCACCCAAGCTAGGCTGGAGAGAGGGTGCTGGCCAGTCTCAATCTATAAGCCTGGTCTCAGGGAGACCCGGGGCGGGAGGGATATCCACCAGCAGAAGGGCTTGCACATGGCCTTAGCGTCTGCAGAGGATAAGGAGTCTCCTCAGGGCCTGCTTGACCTCAGCGTTCCGCAGAGAGTAGATGAGGGGGTTCAGGGCAGGGCCCAGCATCGTGTACATTACTGCAAACACTTTACTTCTCTTGGAATCATAGCTGGAGGCTGGGCTGATGTAAGCACAGAACACGGCTGAGTAGTAGAAGGAGACCACCAGCAGGTGGGAGGAGCAGGTGGAGAAGGCTCGCCGCTTGCCCTCAGCCGAGCGGATGCGCAGGATGCTGGTGATGATGAAGCCGTAGGACCCCAGCGTGAACATGAAGTTGATGACCCCATAGAAGGCGTCGGCCAGGACTGTCATGATGCTGTTGATGAGGGTGGGGCTGCAGGAGAGCAGGAGCAGCGGGGGGATCTCGCAGAAGAAGTGTGTGATGAGGTTGGGGCCACAGAAGTTCAGCCGCGCCATCAGCCCGGTATTTATAGAAGCATTGATGGCACAGATGGTCCAGACGGCCGTGGCCATTACCCCACACAGCCGTGGGCTCATGATGGAGCTGTAGTGCAGCGGGTGGCAGATGGCCACGTAGCGGTCATAGGCCATGACCGTGAGCAGCAGTAGCTCTGCAGACGCTGACCAGACGAGGAAGAAGAGCTGGGCCATGCACCCCTGGAAGGAGATGGTGTTCTCCGTCTCTGACACCAGGCCCACCAGTGTCTTGGGCACCACAGACGAGGTGCAGATGACGTCCATGGAGGCCAGGTTGAACAGGAAGAAGTACATGGGGCTGTGCAGGCTGGCGCTGCAGCTGATCAGCACAAGAATGATGGTGTTGCCTGCCAGTGCCAGGGTGTACAGGGCCAGGAAGCAGCCCAGCAGGGGCAGCCGCAGCTTGGGGTGCTCGGAGAAGCCCTGCAGGATGAACACTTCCACCTGTGTCCAGTTGTGCCCCAGGAACCTGCTGGGAGAGGCCCCCAGGCCCGACTCCATGACGCCCCCTGAGAGAGACACACAGTCAGCCTGGGCTCAGGGTCAGAGCTGCGGCCCCTCACCTACACACACCCTGACCCATGACCCCTGCAGCTGCTCCAGGATCTACTTAGACCACTCCGTGCCCTGGGACATCTGCTCAGACATCCTTGCCCAGCACAGCGGGCTCCAAGCGTGCTCCTACTCCCTGCCCCAGGTGAGGAGCAGTCTGCCCCCCTGGGCCCTGCGGCCATCGCTGTGTGGCCCTGCATGCCCTCTGTGGGCTGAGCGCATCCCTGCTCACGAAGGTCATGTCGTCCTGGGCTCAGCCCCTCTGTTCCAGGTGCACACGCCTGTCTCTAGCTCCAGAGCTGCCCTCAGACACCCGCCCCAACCCCTCATTGAGCCCCAAGTGCTCAACACCGGACCAAATGGTGGCCGCGCCCCAGGGCAGCTGTGGTACATCCTACAAGCCCCGCCCTGCATGATGCCCAAATAGCATGAGGGAGCAGGAGTTGGCCTGGCCCGACACCCCTCAGCTCCCACCATCCAGGCTCTGCAGATCTGCTGCTCGATGTCGAGACTGTGTCTGCTGTCTCCGTTGCCTCCACGGGTCCTCAGGGCAGCCGAGCTCCCAACCACACTGGTAGATCCCCCACCCCCTCGGCCTCCTCTGCACGCCGCGACTCCCTCCACTCCCACAGATCTCCATGGAGGCCCCAGTGACTGCCTCCAGCAGTGTGTGTGCGAGGGTGAGCCTGATTTACGCACGTGTGTGGGGCCTGGGGACCCCCAAGGACACCAACAGGGCAGAGCTGGACTCAGAAAGGACAGGGCAGGGTAGGGCCCCGTAACAGCTCTGCCCTGGACATGAGTGGTGCAGCCACATGATGGCCTCACCTCGGACAGGTGGAGTCAAAATCCCCAGGGGGCGGGCAGCGGCCGGCTTTGGTGCTCCGGGGAGCGCATGCACGCGAGCGCGCGCGCGCGCGCGCACACACACACACACACACACACAGAGGGAGGGGTCCAGGACCCAAGAGGTGGAAAGGACAGAGCAGTGGGGCCTGGGATCGGGCAGGGGGAGGCCCCGGGCTGGGCGGCCACCGCCTTGTGAGGGGAGCCGGCAGGGGCAGCTCTTCCCTGAGGAAGAGACAAGAACGTCAGCGACAACGATGTGTCCACGGCACAGAGTGTTGGAGGCTGCAGGGACAGCGGGAGCCGCCCCGGTCTACACCGCATGACCGGGCTCGGGAGCCCGAGGGGCAACAGCCCCAGGAGCGCGAGTGCCTGAGCGAGTGAAGGGCCCGTGGTCTCCACCGGGACGGAGCTGGGTTTCTCACACGGGACACAGAAGCCGAAGAACAACAGCTCGAGCTCAGGGACAACGGGGCGGCGTGGGGTGAAGACAGCCTCCGGGACGCCGTCAGACGCGGGGCCCCCGGGGCCCCTGGCAAGGCCGGCAGGGACTGCCCAGTCCTCAGTCACAAGAGGAGACCGTGGACAGCTGGACTCCATGGTGTGTGGGGGGGGGGCAGCAGAGACAGACCCCACCAGCAAGGCCCAAGGGCGGGGCAGGGCTGGCAGGGTGGGGAGAGCGAGACTCTGGGCAGTGGAGGTGCTGCAGGGGGAGGGGGAGCCTGGGGTGCTGCAGGGGGAGGGGGAGCTCTTTTGGTCAGGCTCGATGGGCAGCAGGGTCATGGAGGAAGGGGCCAGCAGGCAGGTGGCCTGGACAGGCGCTGTCAACCCTCCATCTCCACCTGGTCTGGTCCCGGGTGACCCACCTGCAGATCCTGCCTGTTCCCGTGTGAGGTTCCCGCAGGCACCTGGGAGTGCGGACGGCCCTTCTGAAAAAGGAAACACTATGGTCATGGTCCTGGGAGTGTCCGGGGCCTGCTCCCTGTTGGTGGAAGAGGTGACTCTGGGACCCTCTAGAGAACGTGGAGCTGACCCCAAGTGACTGACGAGTCTCCTCCTCGTGTAGGCGACTCAGTGTGGTGGAGCCACTCCAGCCCTGAGGGAGCTGGTGCTGGGCAAGGTCTGGGCACTTGGCAGCCCCGTGGAATGTGGGTGGACTCAGCATCTGGAAGAGGCGCCTGTTAGGTCCAAAGCAGCCAGATGCTGACCAGGCTGCTGCCCTCCTGAGGGCAGCTCCCACACTCTGGCCTGTATGGGGATGTGTCCTGTCTGCATGAAGGTGCTCAGCAGCCCCGGGGCTGGGTAACACCTGGAAGAACAGGACAGCCTCTGGTCCAGCCTCCGTCTCTCTTACTAGCCCGCGCCTCTCTGCTCGTCTCCTGGCTGACACCAAGGCCCTATGTCCACCAGGCTGGGTCTCCTACCGCCCGCAGTGATGTTCGGGTGTGGCCAGAACCCCAACTGCTCGATCTCTCTGTTCCACTCCCAGTCTGAGGTTCGTTCCAGAGATTCCAATTCCCTCTGAAGCAGGTTCTGCTCCCTAGGACCAGGGGCAGCGCAGCCACACTCTCTCACCTCCACTGGGCCCAGCCAAGGGGCCTCTCCATGTCCACTGCACTCTGGCGCGAGCTCCGCTGCTCATGAAACCTCTGAGTCTCCAAGGCGGGGGCCAGGAGCCGGGGCCGGCCCTGGGGAGGCCGCCGGAGGAGGCTCTCAGGGACCATTAGCGCGGCTCGAGGCGCGTGACCACAGCTTCCCGCCCATCAGCGTCAGGAGACCAGACGCCAGGGCTGCAGGCCAGCCGGGCCCCCCTCCGCCGTCCCCGGGGCACTCGTCTTCCTGCCGGGCCGGTGGGCGCTGCTCTGCTCACGCCCATGCCCAGGCTCTGCCCTTGCAGTGACCGATGTGCCTGGGATGCACATGTCCCCGTCTCTGCGCCGCTGAGGGGCGGACACCCAAGTGGGGGGGACCCAGAGATGGCTGCGGTGTCTTCGGCTACGCTGGGCCTCGCGTTTGGCTCTACTTCGGGAACTCAGTAGAAGATCCCACAGGGTTTCTCCTGCGGGGTGTCACCTAAGTCCACGGCGACTACCCAGGGCGCTTGTTTCACAACTGTGCACCCTGCCCAAGACCCTCCTACCGGTGGGGGTTGAATCACCTTTTTGGGCCATCATGAACCTGAACGTTCACAGATTAAATTATGATCATCATTTGCCCCCCAGGAAGCAGCGTCCTGGTCCCCCGGGAGCTCAGCCAGCCAAGGGGTCCCCTGCGCCACTGGGGTCTGCTTGGGAGGTGACCTGCTCTTGGTCCCAGACTCTGGGCTGCCACCTCCCAGCGCCCCTCCTGCCACGCCTCCAAACCCTTCTCCTGCCCTGTGGTGTGGCTCCTGCCGGGCCCGGGACTCTGGCCGCATCTGTGCGGGACCTGGCACTGGGCGGACGTGCACCTCATTCATTCAGGGAAATACCGGGGAACCCCGCAGCTGCGCCCCGACATCATAAGCTGCTAAACTGTCTCCTCAAGCTGATGGTCTTGTGTCGGAATCCTCTGATGTCCATGCTAAGGACAATGAGCACTTTTCTTGCCTTGGTTTTCTGACCTTTCTCCATGAAGCGTCTGTTCAAGGACGTTCCCACGGGGGCGTCTGTTCCTTGTTGAGAGGGACGAGGCCTCGAGGCTCAGGGCGGACAACCTGTGTCCACGCAGCCTGGGAGGAAATGACACTTACAGGTGTGCAATTTTTGCTCCAAGTCTGCGCCTTGTTTTTTAACTTTTTAAGGTTATTTTGAAGAGTGAACTTTCTCTATTTGATGAAGTTAATTGATGTTTTTCCTGGTATGGTTAGTGCTTTTTGAAACTTAGGAAATCTGTGCCAAACTCCAGGTGGTAGGTTTTCTACTCTCTTGATTTCCTGGACTTTTTTTAAAAATTAAGATCTCAGTCCTAGGTTTCTGTCCAAGGTCTCTCCTTGTAAGCACTGGATTGAGGTGTAATTGACATTATTTACATTCTTTCTACACTCTACTCAGATTCTCTTCATTATCACAATGACTTTTTTAAGATTTTATTTAATTATGCACACAAAATCTGGGTGAGGGCCAGAAATGCGGGGGTGAGAAGACTCACTGGAGACAGAGTGGGGAGCAGAACAGGTGGATCCAGTGAAATCCACTGTTGAAGGGCCAGTGAGGGGACAGAAGGGGTCCTGCTGCGCCCTGTGGGTCACTCCCTGTCCAGTGATGGACTCAGGCCACAGTTCTGGAGAGAACTTTATGGTGCTGAGACTCAACCCCTGCGCCCCAGGGAGGCCCATGATGAGTCCTGATGGGATGTTCTTCTGAGTTTTGCTGCTGCAGTTGTGGAGATTCTTTCAACTAAAACATTTAAATCATTACTTTTCATCCCATTTTTTTACTCCCTCCATTTCTGGAGACACAATTACATATACGTTAGATACCTGGATGTTTCCACAAGGGTCACAGAAGATGTTCATTGTTTCAGGCTATTCTTCAGGCTTATACTTGAGTGTAGTCCTCAGTAGATCCTGGTGCCACATGTTCAATTCACTAACCTTTTCTTCAAATCTTTTGTTGTTCCTTCAGTGAATTTTTTCATTTCAGATACTACATTTTTTACCTCTAGAAGATCTTTTTGGTACTTTATTAAATCTTTGATTCTTCTAGTATGCACACGTCTTCCTTTAGCACAAGGGACTTACATGCAACAGGTGTCCTGTGTCATCGCTCACCGACTTCTACCCTGGGAGCTCCCTCTGTCGCCCGCTGCAGCTTTTCCTGCGTCCTGCCCTGGGCTTGTGACGCTGCACGGGCTCCGGAGAGACGGTTTGGGCTGCTCCACACCCACTGCTGTGGCCTCCTCAATGTGCACGACTCTTCCGAAGGGGATCATGGACTTGCCAACTTGAGTGTCTGTTTCATGGTTATTTCAGCTGCTATCCAGGGTGTCTGGAGAAGTCTTTCTTGTGTTGCTAACTTCACCTCACATCTAATGTGCAGCCCGTCTGGGTTCTGTACTTAATGTGTGGAAGTCCCCATAAACCACAAGATGGGCACACACGGCACAGACACAGAGACAGAGGAAGCCCTGAGACAGGCCAGCAGCTCTGGCCTCCAGGGCAGCAAACCACACCAACACTGGAGTAAGGAGCTCACTTTTGCTTTGGAAGCTTAGGGGATGGCTTGTGAAAATGACTAATTTCTGCATTGTTTACGTTCCTTTTCAAGGCAGGATTTGGAAATTTTCCCAAATAGCCTTTCAATTATCAACCCCACTGCCCAGGCTGATTATCTGCATCAGCAGCCCAGAGGGCTCACATATTTACATAACATTCAGTTTAGCATTGCTATATCAGAAAAGTGAAATAATCTAAATCCCCATCAATAAATACATGTTTAAATTAAGTTACATTACAAAATTCGGAACTATACAGGTCTATGAATGTTGATACAAGCAACTCCCCAACATATATTTAAGGAAGCCCAATAGAGACTCCCCCAAAACACGAGAACAGAATGGGTTGGGTGGTCTCTCCCCATCCTGCACTGAGAGAAAAATGAAACCAACAGAACTAATGAAGGCTGAGTGAAGGGTTCGGGTCAGAGACAGACACTCCCTGGGGCCGGTTCTGGGGCTGCGGTGCTGTTGGATGCACCTCACTAGGAGATATAGGAGGTTGCAGGCAGAGGCGGGGCACTGTCGGATCCTGCTGACCACTGAAGATGGTCAGAGGGCCCTTTGGAGAGCAAGCGACAGAGCGGGACATACCTGTGCCCAGGACCTTGGGGGCAGCTGGGTCTCTGCCATGTGGGCTTGTCTCGGGGTGGTGATTGGGGTAGGGGTCTCCCCTCACCCTGGAGCCGCAGCAGAGGCACACCCAGTGCTGGTGCTGTGGAGCTACACCGGCTCCACTGGGACTGGGGCTAGGAGAGAGGGTGGGAGAACCCTCTCACCACTCCCTGCAAACAGACCTGCGTGAGCATCAATGACCTGGCAGCCCCACACCCTCAATAAGGCATCATTGAGTCAGGAAACAGCCCACCCCAGGCACCACGCCCAGCAACGAAAGCCCATCTGCATCTGGCTGCTCCTGATGCTAGTGTTACCCCGGGCCCAGTGACCAAGCTTTGTGGGAACATCCCCTGCAGCATTGGGGAGCGTGAGGACACAGGGCAGGAATTCAGGGTCCGAGTCACTGAACTGAGATTTCTTCAGAGAAAGAGGAGGAGTCAGAGGCGACCTTTTGCCCTGAGATGCCCTCCCTTCTTGCCAAGATTTGAACCCAGTTCTCCCTTTTCTCCACTCCACCTGCTACCAAGGTAAGTGAAGAGGAAGAACAAACAAACTAAAGGAAAGGAAAAAGGAAAGGAAAAGGAAATAAGGCATCATCACTCTTAGGAAGCAAAAACACCTGAATGCAAGATAGAAAGGCAGAAGGAGAACACAAGTCCAGACACAGCGACCAGAGGTGAAGAAATAGAGAACCTGAGAGGCAAAAAGCAACATTTTAATACTAAATGAGGTACAGAGAGGACAGTCAAAATCAGAAAGACAGGTAATGGAGTCTAGAAACAAGCTTCGGCAATAAAGGACATAAATTGTACTGAATGAAATAAGGAAAATATGGAAAGCATTTTAAGTAGAACTGAGCTGGTAGAAGAGAATTTCAGAAACAGAAGATGCAAATATTCAAATCACCCGGCTAGAAGAAACAGAAAGATTTAGTAAAAAATGAAAAAGAAAATGCTGCAAGAGATGTCAGCCTCAATTAGAAGAAGAAATATTCAAGTAAAGAGTACTCCAGAAGATGACAAGAGAGAAGGGAAGAGAGGTGATATTCAAAGAGTAACTGAGAACTTTCCAAACTTAAGCAAAGAAACAACAATGGGTGCCCAGGTAGCAGAAATAA